TTAACTGGAAAACTTTTATTGAATTCTTCAGTTGGAATTTTACAAATAATTAAATATCATTTTCCTTCTAGAACCTGCTTTACGCTGCACTAAACAATAAAATATTCTACATTCTTTAAAACAATCTGGCACAAAATAAAACATCATGTTGGTTGAAATTTGTTGTTACCCATTAGTTTTCTTTACATCAAATTAAGATGTGGTTAATATATATTTAATACAAACAAGATGCCTATACTTGTGTAAAGATATACATTTCCATGAGGTTTTCAAATCAGAAATTGCACAAAATTGTAACACAAACAATAATTGCATTAATTATATTCAGACAGTTTTCACAAATGCACTTTCTAACATCCACATGAAGGAATATCAAGAACATCTAATAATTACCATTTAACATAAGCCATGTTTACAATTCATGTCAGGTATGAAATAAAACTTTCTTCTTTGGATAATGAAATCAAGTGCTACATACAGTCAATAGAAATACTTTTATTTCAAAACACAGAACTAGACAAGGAGTAATTCTCATATATAGGCCATTGTCTGCATCCCTAAGTTTAAGACTGACAGGTGAGTACTAATGAAAAAGTCATGTACAAAAATAAAGCACATAATTCCCTTGATACAACCAGTTGCAGTACGAAGTTAAGTTATTCCCTTGGCTGTACTATGTCCATTGACCCTTCATGTCTCTCTATATATATACATACTTGATATTCTTTCATGGTAAGTACAACCGTTATGAGTACTTGGTTTCTGCCAGTCCTCCTCTACATTCTAAACTTTAGATAATTAAAAAAATGAAAATAAAATAAATTAATTAAGGAATAAAAAAATTGAGACAATGCAAGTGAAAGAAAATAATTTTCGAAGAACAACTTGAGGCCTTTCATTCTATTGTAACCCTTTTAGGCTCTCAGAAAAAAGATGATATATGAGGGAATATGAACATGAAAAATACATAAATACTATATTTACAAGACAATACATATATAATGTGCACAGAAGTTATGTTGATAGTATAGGGGAGCTTACTTTCCAAATATAAATATTACAGCTCAAAGGAGTACAAATACCACATCTTTTATTTTCTCTTCTTACTAACTTTCCATTATTATCTAAGGGTGTCTATATATCTGATAAGCTAGTATTCAATGTCAACATTTTACTAGAATGGAGAATATGTGCAACTGCAGTAATCAATAACTGATGGAAAATACCTTGTTTTCTTTTATATTTCACTCTTCTAAGAAACCAATTTCTTTAAACAAGAAAGACACTCAGAAGCAAAAAAATCAAAACATGTGCGCACACATGTATACGCTCATACACACACTTCTGCTAACTTGCTCACTCACTCACTCACTCTCTCGCGTACAAACACACGTTCACCTTGCAGTCACACCTGTACACATATACACTTACTCACTCTCCCTTTCTCATGCATTACATGCACATATATCGAAGCATGTCAACAAAAAACACATGACTGTTAGAGTATTACCTTTCATATCATGAACATGCAGACACTTAGATGTAAAACTGTAAGATCTGGTAAGGAAAGAAAGAAAGAAAGGAAAAAAAAGTGCTCCTTTGCACATCTTCAAAGTCTTTTTGAAAAAATTAAAAAGTTTGTGCATGAGTATGCTTCAATTGCCTATAACAATCCTTCACAGAACACCATAAGGATTAGTTTATTTTCCAATTGGGTAATTAAATGAGGAAGATTTCTTTATAGCTTCCTTTAGAACTAAATAAACTGACAAAAAATAATAAATACTAAGGCTGAGAAAAAAGCATTCACATTTAATTTTCTTTTTTCTTTTCCTTTTCTTTATTTAGTAAACCCGCAGTTTTCAATTTTTCTGTATATAACACTTCCAAAATCTAAAATTAACACTCCTTTATTCCAGGAAAGTTTATGCATTCTCTCCATAGCACAGTAAGGCTTCTTGTATATACACATACATACACGTATTCTGCCTAAAGTATTGTCAGGATTACAGAGCCATATTCCGCCCTTCAATACTGATTGCAACCGCTCGGCGAGCTTTCGACAGTCTTTTTCTCTCTTGGAAAGCTCGCATCTGCTTGTCTAGCCTTGTAACCTCTTTCTTACTTGTCTGAAAGTAATCAGAAAAAAATTACTATTTAGTATACAACAAAATAACAGATAAACAAGCTACCATATAAGTGACTGAACAAAAAAAAACCTGGCACCCAATCAACTTTCCTTGCGAGACAGCAGTACTTTTGACAACTGCTCAGATGTGTAGACCCAATCATGGAAGAAAGGCACACTGTTCTGAGCTCTTTGTCCCATGGTGAAAAAAAAAAAGGGCCCAAGATTTGCCAAAGTCATATGGAAATTATATGAACACCTCCCATTTAATAAATACTAGTTAATTGTTTTCTTAATTTTGAAAATCTGCAATTATCATACAAGACTGATTTTCACTCAATAAATTTCTCTATATTTTGACAGTATCCTACTAAACTTGCAAATCTGCTTTTAAGTCTAAAGGATATTAATTAAAATCCTGATTATTAGTCAGGAATATTTCTCCTTCAGCATTCTTTTCTATGATAGAAGCTATAATAAATAAGACCTATAAGACCAATACCTATATCTAGCATAACTTACTCTGTTGAGATCAACTTCCGTTTGCCACTTTGGACGGTTGACATAATCTTTGGCTGAAGGGCGAGGGACACGTGCTCTGTAGCACCAACCAGGGTCACCTGGACGCAGTGGTCGTCTGGAAATCAATCCAATGTAACATTTAGTTTTGAAATGATAGCACAAAAGCTAAACTGATAGTTCCAACACCTGACTCCTTGGTTTTTTTTGAGTTCTTTCATACATCTTACAATGTGACTCTACAGCAAATACTGTACATTGCAGTTATCAGCCTAAAAGATTGAAAAGAATATATGCAACAAGCACTCCGATGAGCAATTGGGGTTTCTAAGTTTGTTTCTTTCTTAAACTCACCCTGACTCGTCTGTCTGAATATCCTGTTGGTCTTTTCTGCTACTGCCACCTTGTGACTGCTGCTGTTCAAGATCTCTTTCTAGACGTTCTTCTTTCGATAGAGCTGTAAAAATGGAAAAATGTCAGACAAGATGAACAAGAAACAGAAAACAATTAAAGCCATGTTGACCTTTTAAAAATACCCCCAAAAAAACAACAATTTTAGAGTAGTAGTTCCTAATGTTTTCCAGGTTGGCACACCCTTGGCTTCCAGGTGGATTCATAGCACCCCCCCCCCCCATACAATCATGTAAATGCTTTTTTTTTCAGTGTACTTCAAATTGAAAACAAGATTAAACACAAAGATCTATTTCACAAATAAAACATAATTTAGTAAACCAATTTAGTAAATTAAATCTATTCAGCAGTTTTGTAAAAGGAGAGTTATTCATTATCTGCCCTTACTGCCATCCTATCTCCCCCACCTCCCCCTTTTGCCTGACCTCCACATAAGGGTGTTTTTGCCCAATTTGGGAGCCATGCTTTAAAGTGTAATCCGTTTTCCTGTCAAAAAGTTGTACATCTTTCTGTAATGACAAACATAAATAAGAAAATAAACAAGGAAAAAGTGTATATAATGATGTGGAAAAAAGGAGGACCATGTTTAGTAAAATACAAACAACCAATTACCTGTACTTTTCACCAAAACTTATCTACATAATTCCAATATTACTACATATAAATCATTCACTCATAATTCACAATTCTTCACCTTCCTTCCTTGGTTTTCTTAACCTGGGAAGTCAAAATGAATACAGTGACATTGCACCCAATTAGGAGATTCGTCAAGGCTTATATCAGCAATCATAAATTTCATACCAAGGAAGTAGTATTTTTGAAATTTCTTGGAAGAAAGTAAAATACAAAATACAATCCTTTTAACAGAATCCAGATTATGAAGTAGAAAAAAAAGACATTAAACTGACCTACAAGTCTGTATTCACAGACTGACTCTACATTCCATGAGTATATACTTACATTTGAAATCATCTGAGACGTTGAATATTGGGCGTGACCACATGGATATGAGTCTTCCGCACCGACTCCTGATTGTCTTCAGTTCTTTAGGGTGCTTATACAGATACATAATGGCTTTCCCAATGCCTGAAGTCTTCAACATATCTTGTGATAGAGGTGGTAACTGCAAACATACAAAATTTGCCAATCAAAACATTGTCTTGAAAATAATGAAGTAAGAATAATGCTGATCATCTATGCATCACACACATCTGCATGTGTGTTCTATGGTTGTTGTGCATGGGTGAATGTGCATGGAAGTTTGTGCCTGCATGTGTGTGTGGATATGTATGCATCTGGGCATTTGCGTGTGGACATGTGTGAATCTGGGCGTGTGTGTGTGACCACAAGTATGTCGTACACCTGTTACATACCGATAGCAACCACTTAGTGACAGCCTCTCTGATCTTCACAGCAGGAAGGGATCGGTCAGGCATAGGAGCCAACCAGTCTGTCAGGGCTGAAAGCACATTGGCATCTAAAAAGCCTTCAATCAGGTTCGTTTTATTGATTTGGCTCATGGCAAGATCCAACATTGCAGACTTTTTGGTTGCTGGTTGCCGCCTGGCATTGAGCTGCCGGTCCTCATCAGCTGCTTCTCGCATCTGGAGGGAGAAGGAACAGCTATAGGAACAAATACAACAGGAATCAAAATATCTGAACATAAGAGCTGGTTATCTCTTTACAGCCATGAAGCTATTTCAAACAAGAGATCGGTAGTTAAGCTCTGCACCATTATGGATAAATGTATTAAAAAATAAATCAATCAATAAGTCATAATATTAAAAGACAGACTTTCAGCATTCAAAATAACTAATTTAGTTGTACCTAATCACTGACAGCAACAACATAACCCGATCATAATCAGAGAATCTTACTTTCCGAACAATAATGGCTATGTGTTCCTCATTGTCGTTAATAATGTCTACGTTATTCTTTCTTCTCCTGTGCCTTCCTGCCTCTTCCTTCTTCTTGGCCAACATGGCTTCGAAATCATTGACGAACTCCTCCTCGTGGTTTCTCAGCTGATTCCGAATGGCTTCATCTTCACTGTCTGACAGCTGGGGCAATGCCTGCTATAAAACAATAATGATAATCAATTAGCCTATAAACAAAGAGTATTAGCATGCAGATATAACTCCTGCATGTACATAAAAAACAACAAAAAAACACACAGACATAAAAATATATATACATTCAAAGATTTAATTATATATTAACTATGCATGAACAATAAGCTCAATGATTTTCTCACCTCAGTATTCTGTTCACTTTCTGGCTCTCTGTTGGGTGCTGGGCTCCCTGATCTACTGCCGCCTTCATCGTTTTCATTCACCTTAGCCTTCTTTGCAACGTTCTTCTACAGATAACAGGGAAGCATTATTGGCTGAAATTTTATTCCTACAGCTTCATGCTAGTACTTAAATCCTAAGCCTAAAAGCTGGTCAAAAGCATGCTAATTCTAAATAGCTATATTCCCAATGACCTACCCGCAAATATTACTTAGAGAAAAAAGAAGAGAAAAAGGTATCGTAAACCATCAACTGCTGTGGTTGTGGCTGATGATTAGTGGACTAGACAGTTCTCAAGACGTACTAGTCTATGGGAGAGTCCCTACAGCCTTTGAAAAACTAGCCAAAAATAACTGGAATAGCTGATGCCTCTCTCTCTCTCTCTCTCTCTTTCTCATCCACACCCACATCCACACACAGATGCTGTGTCATGAAAATCAACTATACAACAAGTTTTACTACCAACAAAAGCAACACAATCTTGGCCAACAACTCACATCATCTGGGCCTGAGTCACTGTCACTGCCACTAAGCACATTCTTCTTCTTTGCTTTAGGCTTTTTGCTAGATTTTGGAGCATCATCGTCAGAGTCACTTCCTGCTCCGCTGCCACTCCCACTGCCACTCGTCTTCCTCTTGCGTTTGACCTTTGTAAGTTATAAATAACCTCAATTAGAAAAATACTGAAAAGTTGACAGCTGTTTAAGATGATCTAAAAATACAGGTCAAGATAAGAACCTAAATAATGACACGATCATATGCATAGCTATAAATCAATTCAACTGCAAAGTACAAACATGTTATATGACCAAAATCAGCGATAAAAGAGTTACACATGGGATCCCTGTCATTGGTTGCCATTATTAGTCATTTCACTTTTATATAAAAAGATGTCTTGAGGATACATCATTGATCACGATTCACTCTCAAATCATAGGGTTTTTCAGTTTATGCACAAATGTTTTCAAATACAGAAGAAGAAGAAAAAGATTCACTCTGAAATTATGAACAAGAACTACAGTTTACACAAGCAATACATGTCTACTTTTCGGAAAAAGTAGACATGATGGTGCCACCACATCAATGCGGTCATAGCCATCATTAACTTATTGATGGATGATGGCAGAAGCAAACCAACTGAAAGCTAGGCATCGACACATTGTGTTTATGCTAAGTGAGACGGAAATAATAAAAAGGAATAATAGCATCAAATCCACAGTGGATTTAGGGAACTGTCAGGCTTTTGATTTTTCAAATAACTTTAAATATCGGAATATATTGTTTAAAATCTCAGGATCCAACAAGCCCTTGGCGGAGTTCAATTAGAAAATTCACATAAATAAAAATCTGACCTCTCACACCTCCCCAACAGAAAAAATAAATCTACTGGTAGGTGCAGACAAACATTACTCAAGGAAATACAGAAATATAGTATCACTTACAATTCTAAGCTATCATAGACTAGATTTCACCTTTATCCAGTATATAAACACAATGAGTCCACAAAGATTCTAAAAGCAAAAACTGGAAAAAAAATTAACTTTCATTCTTTTTCTTAACCCATTGCCAACAGGTGGTATGTAAGTTCATGCCATGGCTCCTGTGGACCAAAAAATGGATGGCATCATATCATACCCATTCCTGCGTCTCTGGCTCGTCAGACGGTGTTTGTTTTTCTCCGATAGTAGCGGCTTCATTTATGTGGTAAAGATTTTAGGCAATGGCACCTATAATGAAGGTAAACCTTCAAAATTATGATATTTTTATAAATTATAGCAAAATAAAAGCTTTTAGGTGCCAAATGTCGCTTGCAAACTACTGTTCGCACCAGGTCCAAACAGGGGAAACTGCGAAAGCGCCCCAACAATCCCATTATTACATCCACTTGCCAAACATTTTTACCCGTCGGCCCTGGGTTAACAGCATAATACTGAAAAAAGAATGCCCATCCACCTCAACTGCTCCATAGTTCTTGCTTAACCCGAAAACCAAGTGAAAATGATGAGATGGCAGACGATCCCCTCTCATCTACCTGTGCAAAGCCCAACCCTTGCTCATGATGCCTTTAAAACTCACTAGAGGTCACCCTTCCAAATTCATGTGTTGTGCCTAATAATTACATCACGTTCCAAAATAGCCCAAGTTTGCAGTTCTAGTTTGTATGAATTTTTCAAGGACAAAAATGAAGGTACTACTCTTTATGAGTAATGTTTTAAGAAAATACATATATACTATATGCCTGAGTAATCAACTAAACATTACAGTCCCTTTTATACCCTTTTATTATGTATTCTATGGAATACTGTGTATCACTTCTTGAAGTTATCAAAAGTCTATTTTTTCTGATCCCTATTTACAATAAATGACAAGGATCCTCTATTTAATTGTACTAATTTATAAAAACAATTAGTAAAAAACTGATAATAATGTATATAATCAAGGTGATTCAAACATTACACACAAGTGAGCTCTATACATTTTAGCTATGCATGAGAATATTTAACAAGCATCTAGGATAGTGCACTTACTTTCTTTCGCCTCCCTTTCTCAGACCCTGAGTCAGAATCAGAATCTGATAGCACCCTCCTGCGCTTTTTGGGGGATCCTGTATCGGACCCACTTCCTGATCTCGATCTAGAACGGCTGCTGCCACTTCTGCAAGGAAAAAGTGTGAAAATTGGTGCTGCATAACCAAATTTCTTTATATTCATTACCCAGTAAAACCTAACATGAACTGTAACTAATTTCTTTCCAAAATCAATTCCATGATTTTGAACACTCTAAAAACTATTCTCTAAGCAACAGGTGTGGCAGAATTAAACTCCAATTGTTCATTGCAAAATCATAACTAAGCATATAATACCTTGCCCTGCTCCTTGATCGTGACCGGCTTCCTGATTTACTTCTTGATCTTGATCGTGACCTTGATCTGCTGCCTGACTTGGCTCTTGACCCTGACCTGGACCTACTTCCAGACTTGCTTCTTGATCTCGACCTGCTTCCAGATTTTCCTCTTGATCGTGATCGTGATCGTGAGCGTGAGCGTGAGCGCGAGCTTCCAGATTTGCTCCTGGATCGGGATCTGCTTCCAGACTTGCCTCTGGAGCGTGATCGAGACCGACTGCCGGACTTGCTTCTGGACTTTGATCGTGACCTGCTTCTAGACTTTGATCGTGACCTGCTTCTAGACCTTGATGCACTTCCTGACTTGCTTCTGGAGCGTGACCTACTTCCTGATCGGGATCTGCTCTTTGATTTCCTTTTTGCGGGCGAGCCACTGCCAGACCGACTGCCCGACTTACTACGAGAACGAGACCTAGAACCACTAGCAGCTCTACTTCCCGATCTTGACCTACTTCTTGAGCCACTTCTTGATTTACTGCGAGACCTACTACGGGACCTACTGCCTGCTCGACTTCCCGATTTACTTCGTGATCGAGATCGGCTTCTTGAGCCACTGCCAGCTCTGCTTCCAGACTTACTACGCGAACGGGATCTACTACTAGCACGACTTCCTGACTTGCTCCGAGAACCAGAGCGAGATCGGCTGCGGGAGCCACTGCCAGCTCTGCTGCCAGACTTGCTACGTGAACGTGACCTACTACGCGAACGACTTCCCCCTTTCTTTCCACCCTCTCCTTCGGAGTCTGAGCCGCCAAAGACTTCATTAGTAATTTGCTGTTTCTGGTCATCACTTCCTGCTGGAGACTTGGGACCATTCTTTCCTGGACTCGCTTCCTCATCATCGCTATCCATAACAGAGCGCCTCTCTTCTACCTCACTGTCACTTCCTCCACCAGATCTAGAAAGATTTATACAGTTAATATGTGCTATATATTAAAAAAAAAGTTGCATAAATACACTCTGAAGACTAGAAATAAAAAATTCAAGATCTACTAAAATGAAACCTTTCAACTAAACTATTAACCCAGTAACTTTTTTTTTTTTTTTTTTTTTTATGAACTTGA